TCAATATAAGATAATAGGAAATATAACGCTTATACAAAATAAGGAAGTGAATAAATATGTGAACTATATTGTTTTGGCATATGCTTGGTTGTTTGAGGTGAACTGTTAACCAACCAACCTAAGCTGTTACAGAATCATAGAACTGGTCAGTGTTTCTGATTGGGCAGCATCAAAGTGATTGCTAAGTAACGCAATGAAAGTATCTGGCTATATGCAGACTATTATACTGGATTAAACAAAGCCCATCACTACCTTCTGTCGTTACCAGAAGACTTATTTGTGAAACAGAATGAGGGGATGTAATTTGCGAAACTGGATTTATTAGAAGCTTATCTACAGATTCCAGTAGCCGTAGAGTACAAGCATTACCTGACCATAGTCATCTGCAGAGTCCAAATCATCTAGTTGCATCCAGTCTGTTCATTGTATTCCGTAATTCAGTCAACCACTAGAAGATAGAAATAGTGAGAGTGAGCACTTCTGTCTGACTCCGGTACTCATTTGGAATGCATCTATAAACTGCCCTCAATGCACGACTTTGCAGTTTAGTTCGTCGTATGAAGTGCGGATGATGTTGGCGATCTTCTCAGCTACTCACAACACTGTTGAAGAAAGTTCCATAAGGTTCTATCCACTTTGTCAAAAGCTTTCTCATAGTCACGGAAGTTGATCTATAGTCTAGTGGCCCTATGTTTGACTTCACTTACTTACTTACTTACTTACGCCTGTTACTCCTCGTGAAGGAGCATAGGCCGCTCACCAGCATTCTCCATCCAACCCTGTCCTGGGCAATCCTTTCTAGCTCCGTCCAGTTGTAATTCATCGTTTTCATATCTGCTTCTATTATCCGACGCAATGTGTTCTTTGGCCTTCCTCTTTTTCGCTTCCCTTCAGGATTCCAAGTTAGGGCTTGCCTCGTGATGCAGTTTGACGATTTGCGTAATGTATGTCCTATCCTCTTCCATCGTCTTTTCCTAATTTCTTCTTCAGCTGGAATTTGGTTTGTTCTCTCCCACAGGAGGCTATTGCTGATGGTATCCGGCCAATGGATGTTGAGTATCTTGCGTAGACAGCTATTTATAAATACTTGTACTTTCTTGATGATGGTTGTTGTAGTTCTCCAAGTTTCAGCTCCATACAGTAGAACTGCCTTGACGTTCGTATTGAAGATTCTCACTTTGATATTGGTTGAAAGTTGTTTTGAGTTCCATATGTTCTTCAATTGTAGGAATGCGACCCTTGCTTTGCCGATCCTCGCTTTTCCGTCTGCATCTGAGCCTCCTTGTTCATTGATGATGCTTCCCAGGTATGTAAAGAACTCTACATCTTCCAGAGTTTCGCCATCAAGTGTGATTGGATTGCTGTTATCCGCCTTGAATTTGAGGACCTTAGTTTTCCCTTTGTGTATGCTGAGGCCTACTGATGCAGAGACTGCTGCTACACTGGCTGTCTTCATCTGCATCTGTTCGTGTGTACGTGATAGGAGGGCTAGGTCATCTGCTAAGTCCAAATCGTCTAATTGGTTCTGAGCTGTCCATTGTATTCCGTGTTTTCCTTCAGATGTTGAGGTCTTCATAATCCAGTCGACCACCAGGAGAAAGAGGAAGGGAGAGAGTAAACAGCCTTGTCTGACTCCGGTCCTTACTTGGAATGCATCTGTCAGCTGTCCTCCATGCACTACTTTGCACTGTAGTCCGTCGTATGAGTTCCGGATAATATTGACAATCTTCTCAGGAATTCCGTAGTGTCGAAGAAGTTTCCATAACGTCCTCCTGTCTACACTGTCGAATGCCTTTTCATAATCAATGAAGTTGATGTATAGTGATGAGTTCCACTCAACTGATTGTTCGACGATGATCCGTAGTGTTGCAATTTGGTCTGTCCACGACCGATCCTTACGGAATCCAGCTTGTTGATCTCGAAGTTGGGCGTCTACTGCATCCTTCATCCGGTTCAGCAACAATCTGTTGAAGACCTTCCCTGGTATTGACAGTAGTGTTATGCCTCTGTAGTTTTCACATTTGCTCAGATCTCCTTTCTTTGGAATCTTGACGAGGTGTCCTTCTTTCCAGTCCATCGGCACTTGTTCCTCCTCCCAAATCTTTTTGAATAGAAGATAAATCATGCTTGTGGTTGCTTCGATGTCTGATTTCATTGCTTCAGCTGGTATGTTGTCGGGTCCTACTGCTTTCCCGTTCTTGATTTGTCTGACGGCCATTCTAATTTCTTCCGTCGTTGTTGGGTTGACATCTATAGGAAGATCTATGTGTGCTGCTTCGATGTCCGGTGGATTCATTGGAGGCAGCCCATTCAGGAGTTCCTCGAAGTATTCTACCCATCTGTTACGCTGTTGTTGAATTTCGGTGATTGGCTTGCCTTCTTTGTCTTTGACTGGCCTCTCTGGTTTACTGTATTTCCCTGCTAGTTTCTTCGTTGTATCGTGAAGCTGTTTCATATTTCCTTCTCTAGCAGCTTTTTCTGCCGTCGTTGCTAGTTCTTCCACGTATTTCTTCTTGTCGGCTCTAATGCTCCTCTTCACTTGTTTGTTTGCTTCTATGTATTCAGCTTGTGCTTGGACTTTCTCTGCTCGTGTTCGGCTGTTGTTTATTGCTGCCTTCTTGTTCTTCCTTTCTTTGATCTTGTCCAGTGTTTCTGTAGAGATCCATTCCTTATGATGGTATTTCTTTAGACCGAGAACCTCTTGACACGTTGAAGTTAATGCTTCCTTGATGCCTTTCCAGTTGTCCTCCATAGTAGTTTCTTCTTCTTTCAGTAGATCTTGTAAGGCTTGGAACCTGTTGTTGAGAGCTATCTTGAATTCATTGAGTTTGTCAGTATCTCGAAGGAAGGCTGTATTGAACCTTTGTATTGCTGTTTGTCCACCTGTCCAGTTCTTTTTTAGCTTCAGTTTTAAATTGGCTACAACTAGGTGGTGATCTGATGCTACGTCAGCACCTCTCCTGGTTCTCACATCTTCCATTGTCCTTCGGAATTTTTTGTTGATGCAAATATGATCTATTTGGTTCTCTGTAGTGTGGTCCGGTGAGATCCATGTAGCCTTGTGTATACGCTTGTGTGGAAATATTATGCCTCCTATGACCAATTTGTTGGATTCACATAGATTTGCAAATCTTTCTCCATTTTCGTTTCTTTCTCCCAGTCCATGTCGTCCCATAATATCTTCATATCCAGTGTTGTCTATTCCGACTTTGGCATTTAGATCTCCCATTAGAATGGTGAGGTCCTTTCTTGGGCATTTCTCTATCACTGACTGCAGCCGCTCGTAGAATTGATTTTTAATTTCGTCGTTGCTATCATTGGTGGGTGCATAACATTGGATAACATTCATTATAATTCCCTCCTTTGTTTTGAATGATGCTTTGATTATTCTGGATCCGTGAGATTCCCATCCTACAAGTGCATTTCGTGCTACTTTGGACAGCATAAGAGCGACTCCCTGAGTGTGTGGAGCATTGTCCTCTTCGTGACCGGAGTATAGCAGCATCTCTCCCGTAGCTAGCCTTTTCTGTCCAGCTTGGGTCCAGTGGGTTTCGCTGATTCCCAGTACTGCTAAGTTGTATCTCCTCATTTCCATTGATATTTGACTGGTCTTCCCGGTTTCCCACATTGTTCGAACGTTCCATGTACCTATAAAAATGTTTGCTCTGGTTGTTAGAAGGGGCATCGGACTCGTGGCTTCCAAAGGAACTCGGCTTTCACCATGAAGCGTCATAATTCTTCTAAATGAAGACCTTCTAACTCCCAGGGCAGAGTTAAAATGGTTTGGATTGTTTTTTCTGGTAAGCGTTTTTTTAGCGAGTTAGTTTTCTACGGGATGGGGACGCTAACCCCATGCCCAACCCTCCTCCTTTACCCGGGCTTGGGACCGGCAGGAACCCTATAAGAGCTACAGGCGGAGTTTGTTTGACTTCAGTTAAATCGTTTATTGACCGTTAACGAAATATATGTGCTGCCAACCCTCGCATCTAATTATTGACTTAATCCACGTTAGTGAATAACGGAGTTTAGATAACTCGAATACGAGAATAGACTTGGGATACGTATATTTCATTTTGTCGCTACTCTGAATGGACAGTCAAGGAAACGCAGAGAGAGAGCGAAACGAAATCAAATGAGGCGGAGTGGAGAAGGCGAGTGAGTCAACTAAATGTAATCAGGCGTTACTCAATATTTATGGCCAGACTAAAAAGTAAATTACAGAAACATAATGAACAAGTTACGCAATCAACAGCGTCAGAATGTGGTTTGAGAAGAACGAATAAATTAGTAAGTTAAGAAACGAGATTAGCCTATATATGCAGCTGTGTATTTGTGAGTGACAATCAACAGTTTATGCTATTTGTGTTCACATATCAGAACGGAGGGTCAAAGATCGTGCTACTATTTTTAAACAGCAATTTTACGACCAATAATGGTGATCGTACAGGTTATGTGAATTAATGAAAAAAATAGAACTAATAACAAAAACGAATCACGAGACAACTCTATGTTAACCATCTCCACAAGTTAATCATAACACATTTACGGATAGCTGCTTTGGCCTTATCCCTGAAAATGTGTGTCAGATATAACAAACACCGGCTATCATCCGGGATCCTTGTAAATACGTCCATCTCAACTCGCCGAATAAACTTCCTGTACGTTCTTACCACCCCAGTTATTCGACTAATAATTGTCCAACGAATAATCAGATCCAAATTAAATTAGGTAGATAAATTGATGATGGATATGATACGACTATCAGTTTTAACGAACAAACATTTCTATTGATACAGGGATACTATTCAACACTTTCTGGACAGATCACGTAGTGTTGGAAAGGTAATATTTAGCTAATTTAAACTATGGACAACAAATTTAGCAAGAACCACTCATCGGAATAGTGTTCTTTTTAACTTACGAGAGTTTGATTTTTTACTGCTTTTCTGGAACGAATATTTGCGTTGTTTGTAAGGCTGTTATACATTGTACAATTGACAATGGACTTGAGTTTTGAATTTGCGCGGGCATGTCATACCATGTTTTTGTTCTTGGTTATTTTCTATCTTTGTTTGAAGTTGGCTCATACTATTCAGTCTAGCTTGGATCTATCGTGTGAAAATCTTTTACCGGGACAGTACATCTGTGACTCCCCTCTCATAGACGAGCTTACCCAGCAGCCAAGGAATTGCTCTCTCTTTTTGAAAGCTCCAGGTACTTTAAAAATTTCATACCCTACTCTGTGTAAGTTAACTGCAAACCGGCTCCAGGAATCCATTGTAGTGGGAAGCTTTACAGTGGTACAGAAATTGGTTTTCAAAAGCTAATAGATTGCCGTCGAGTGTAGTTTGACCATAATTTGCAATGTTAACTATATTTCTGTATAGGACTGGATATAAGTTTGATCTGGCATTATTGCTTTCAGTATTTGGTGGACTGTTTGGCTTAGACCGATTTTATCTTGGGTACCCAGCTCTGGGTTAGTTAGCTTATTAAATATATTCTTGCACAGGTTGCTTGAAATTCTTCACATTCGGTGGCTTCGGTCTCTGGTATCTCATCGATATACTACTGATTTCGGTTGAAGTGAGTATGAATATTTCACCATTTGTTTAGGGTAATAGTTTCAAGTTAGCATTGAACATGGTTACTGTTGTTTGTCTTTGTCTAATTTGGAACGTTAAACTGTTGTATGTTGTACTCAATGAAATATGATTCGAGTTGAAATCCTGAGTATTCTTGCACATATTTGGCAAAATATCTTTAAAAATGTAATGCGACAAAATGATTTAAATATCCAAGGAGTTTCGTCCCATACTCAATATACATTTAAAACTGAAACCTTTCGAGATTGGTTGTTCGTATCATGTAACCCAATATGTGGATAGGTGATTATAAGCAGGCTTCCAGATTCTTAGGGAAAGGGTCGAGATTTTATGGTAGTGACCAAAAACACCCGTTGAAAGGCTCGTGAAAAATCATTCAAATGAATGTAATTTGTTGATGTTCTCAAAAGATTAAACTGTTTTGCTTACCCTTATTTCATGTGCTGATACGGGGTGATTTTAGTTTACTTTATCTCCTTGGATTAATCTCTTACTCAAATAGTTTCAGGTAAAGACAAAAAGATGTAAGGCTTTTGGACGTCTTCAACAAAATTCTAAGAATGGTTATCTATTTCGCGCCTTCCAAAAGTAAATGCTCAGCTAGTCTATACCGACAACTAAGATTAGAGAAGCAACTGAATGAGTTTATCAAGAGTAGGAAATCAGATAGGTGTACAGACCACCTATTTGCAGAGTCGCCTCACCTTTCGTTCCCGACAAGATCATAGCACAGGTACAATAATTCGATTCAACAATTGTTCACATAGTATCAACTCGATATTTGCCTGAGTATATTGCATCAGTGTTTGATAAGCTGTATAATTTGTAGGTTCTCAGTCATATGCTACATCACACCACCGCTGAAGTTTAAGCCACCGTGTTAGCAGTGTTAAACAGACTTCGATTGCAGATAGGAAGAACGTATTGGTCGAAAATTTGCTAGATCACCACTGGCTGACATGGGTTGGCTATTTGACAGTCATACAAACTCACTGGGTCTATAAACCAAACTTGTTAAAGTAGAATTAGAAAAAATAAAACCTAGATATTTATTTACTGGTACATATTCGCTACAAGATGTCGTCATCATCATTCCCTAGATGCAGGGTATTAGGGAATGATGGTAAATCAGTCGATGAGGTTGTGAATCTTCATCGACTGAGATGGTTGGGCCACGTGTTACGTATGACCGAACACCGATTACCAAGACGTGCAATGCTAACCGGCGTTCGGGAAGGTTGGAAGAAAGTTAGGGGCGGCCAAACCAAAACGTGGCATCAGTGCTTGAAGTCACTAACTTCTAGTCTGAGCCACGTTGGTAGATGCAGACTACTTGGTTGGGGTCCACTTGACTATCGTAACCAATGGTTGGAGACTTGGTGACATGGCTCAGAATCGATCACAATGGCGTCGGTGTATACACTTTCTATCTTCCCTTAAACTAAGAGATTAAAATTGCTTCATATCTTTCTTTCTACGGACTAATTCTTTCTTCCTGTACTATATCTTTATTGCAATCTTTTATATATTACCACCTCTGAATTAACAACTTTTATGAATCAGGTGTCCATCTTGTTGTGTTAATGAGGTATGGCAACTTGGACCGATGCATAAATGTGCCTGGTCCTACGTTGTAGCTGACTGACTGACAAGAATTCATCACTCCGATATTGACGTCCTAGGTAGTGGTACGATAAATCCGTACAGCTCGTGCTCTTTGATTCATTTTTAATTGTTTTGCTAGCTCTAAAATCTAAATACTGGGTAAATTCATTCTTGAGTTGTTAAATCAAAATTTCAAACTCTGCCAGCGTTTCTAGTTTCGTTTCTCCACAGTTTGAGTTTAGGCTTTTAAAAATATGCGGTTTTCCTGAAGTCTCTGATGTCATTCACTAATTGGCACAAACTAATGCTAGTGATGGAAATGTACTTAATCCGTGATTACCGTATTTTCATACATGTCGATTTTTCTACTACTTTCTTATTGTTTTGACTAATTGCAACTAACATTTTTGTTTCCTTCGTCTCTTTCCCTTTTTGTTTATGTAGTAATTCTTACTTCCACATAACCGTAACTCAATTTATCTTTGTCTGTTTGAATGTAAACGAGTATAAAATCTGAATTCAAAGTTTCCTACTAGTTGTATCCAACTATATAGATATAATACCCACATTCCATTCAATTAGCAATTTTTCTTGTAAACACCCAATTTAACGCTCATTATTGAAAATGTGACGCAGAAGATTCATTCTAATAACAACAAACCCATAATTCGTTGGCTTTCATACTAAGTGTTAACAAACTAGGTCATATTAGTCAGAAACTCACTTTTTCGTGTTTGCGATAAGGTACGTCATTTACTCGTTTTCAATAAATTTGTCTTCGAAGTTCATAAACGTGTTTTACCACACATTTTCTCACATGTTATCTAATTCATTACGATCGGAGGAGGTAAATAATCTGTATGTGATATCAATAGCCTTGATTAGAACATTTTAGTCTCACATATTAATACTAAACTACTTTTATCATTGTGTCTTCTGTCAACATAGTTTCCAATTTGTTTCTAGACTGTTGGACCTGCCGACGGATCGTCGTTTCTCCGACCATACTACGATCCTATAGTGAAACTTCTCTGCCGGACTAACTTCACAGTGTATGCTGGTTGAATGTCTAGTATTCACCATCTAGGAACAAACGAAAAAGAATCGAGCTCCTTTCTGCGTTTGCGGTACTTGTCCCTGCTGCAGAAAATTAGTAGAGACTGCTCAGTTCTGCTTTATTTAACGGATTTGAAGGAACCTCTCAAGGCCACCCTAAATATTTGGTGCCCTTCAGATATAAGAATTAACTCAAAGACGAAGTTAGAACCAGGATTCATTTGTGTAAAAGATCTGCATACTCCGTTGGGTGTGGTTTGCAAAGCTCGTATTCGTGAATCTGACGTGTTAGCTATTCAGGCCTTTTCGGATTAAAATGTCTGAAAATTCGTTCCGGATTGGTGACACACCTGTGCCGCCTAAAAAACGTGCCCGACTGGATGTATCAACGGTTGACACTGTTAACGGTTCGACGGATGCTACCTCTTTTCGTCCTGAGAATATGCATTTAATATCTGTTCTTCAAAACGATCTTCGAAATAAGTGTTTAGTGTTACATACTCGTTTTGGCGATGATCCAAAGGAAGCTATTGTTACACTTCAGAAATCATCATTCCCAAATGATCCAAACACTTTAAAACGTTGTAAAGTAGTTAATAAGCTCATCGGTCTCCATATTTCCGACGATATTGATGACCAATGCCATGAAAAGGATAAAACTGACGAGACTGAAAATGATACTTTTCCCCAATGGCAAGCCAAATCCATTATGAAGAACGATATTTATCATCGCTTCCTTATAACAAACGGTCTAGAGTCCATTAATGGTATTGAAATGACTGTGACGTATCCTGCAGAATCACATCACTTTAGTAGATATGCCAACTCCCCTCGTCATATTATTCAGGAGACTCCTGTGTTGTATAAGGATGTCATTCTCCCTTTTTTGTCCCAGAAACCCAAGGATCTTACTTGGATTGATAATGTAGTAGCAGGAATCGCTGAACAAGATCGTACTCTTCACAATGATGCTGATGAAATGTTTGGTTTTACTTTAGTATTAGATTACCGATGGGATGGGTTACGCATCCAAGAACTTCATTGTTTGGGTATTGCTCACGACCAAAAGCTAACTTGTCTACGGGATCTCCGTAGCTGCCATGTTCCAATGCTAAAAAGGATTTTGCAGCTGGGTCGTGATACACTCTTTCACAAATATTCTAAATCAGAAACATCCGATAATCAAATGTCCGGTGATAATCCGAAAATTATTTTATCAAAAGACCAGATTCTTGCTTATATACATTATCCACCGACCTTTTATAGATTTCATATTCACTTTGTGCACATAGATTCTGGAGACAACTATGGCACTAATGCATGTAGAGCACATATACTCGAAGAAGTTATTCGAAATCTCGAACAAGATGATCTGTACTATGCAAATCGTACAATAACTATGTTTCTGCATGCTAATAATCCCATGTTTGCAGCTATTTGTCAGAACAGTTCCCATATACCTATTGTCGGTTCAGCTCCTGATTAAATTCCACGTATAGTGTTTTATTTTAGGAGAAATGTAAGATTCAGCACTATTCAAACTTTGTAATAAAATCGTCTTAGTAAATACAAATAAACTTTTCCGATTATGACTTCATGTCACTTTGTATGACAGTTGGTTCACTTAAATTCTCTACAAAATCCCAGATTGTTATTGATGAATTAGTCTTGCGGATTATGTCTTGCGTTTACATTTTCGTATAATCATTTTATGTTGCTGTATATATTTGTTTCAAGACAGTTATGAATTCAGAAAACATTCCCATCATCAAGTAATGACTTGCGACCGTTTATCGTGCTCTGATGCAACTCTAGTGGGAATAGTTTGTAGTAGTCTAGGTGTTACCCAAGGAAGGCCCTGATGATATTGAGCATGCATGCTATATGGTTTTGTTATTACTGTGGTATATTGGCTACCGGGAGCATCACCAGATTAGTTGTGGTTAGTACTCGTGTCGTATGTGCTTTGCAACACGGACGTGTAAAGTCCCTCTGTATGGTCGCTAAGGTGCAATGCCATACAAAGATAACATTGTTTGAAGTTGTGCTAACCACTATCCAACGACCTCAATGACTGGATTATTTCTAAGTTACTTTCACTCTCAGCACTGTCTACTGACGTTGAAATCGAGTATGGGTTGTAAAAGCGGTTGCCTTATAATGTGATGCCGTGTCTGAAGTTGGCTTATTACAACTTCCGCATTAGTAACGTTGAGACTACCCAGCTCCTTGAATTAAGGTCACGTAACACCGGAAACTGACTTAACCACTGGTCTTACTATGCTTCTGACGCTAAACAGACGTAATAGAGCTTGCCAAGCCCTAGAAACATGGTATCTGGTGTGCATGCACATGGCATATGTGAATTTGAAATAGTTTGACAAAATTCTGCTGATCCCAATAAGCCTAGGGCTTCGACAAGACAAGCAGTAACTCGAATGTGAAGTACGCAGCATGAGATTGTATTGCGCTGTTACAACAGAACAGAATATTTAGTTGTGTAGTGAATGTATTAGCTATTTGCCACATGTGTTTGTAATATGGCCTTGGCTTATTCACAATTTCGCCAGATCTCAATTATCCTGCATACTGATCTGTCTGACATTCAGTATTATCTTAAGTCATTATCAACAAGGGGATCATTAGAATCGCGAGAGAACATTCACAAGATGAGAAACAAATGAAGAGAGATAATAAAGTCAGTGGGAATTAAAGCGAAAGAAATATGAAGATGGAAAAAAAGGATCAGAAAGTCAAGTTTTGAGGGATAAACGAGAATGGATGCAACTGTATCCAGATTCCAAATAAGTCACACAATTTAGGGAAGGTATGGTTAGTACATCTATTGATATACTGTAAGAAGTCATAAGATTATTTACTTGAATGTAGTGTCTACAAATCTACGACCCATGAGTGGTTATTCAAGCTCCTTAATGAAACTAATCTCACATCGTCAATCTGCTTAGTAAGGTCTATGTTTGTGTTCCTTGCCGAAAGTAACTTCTAGAATCTCCCGTTTCCTAATCAGTTGTTAAATCATTGCAGATATGGCAATTCTTTTCTGAGGTTTCCGAAAATAACTACCGATTTAACGAAGTATATACACTATGAATGTGAACTAACAACCTATGTTGAAGTAAACATAGCTCGAATGTATAGTAAGATACCATTTGTCTAAATCGTAAAAGATGGTTAGAAATAGTTTCTGACACACTGAATAAAATTGATATACATATACTTAGTGATACATAGGAATACCAGAAAATTAGCAAATAAATACATACATAAATCATCCCATTCATGGTATAAGGGAGTGGCTTAAGAATCTATAGTACAACTAAGATAAAACATTCCTATCCGCTCAAAATCCCTTTGTGATCTAGATCGAAGTATAACTACTGCATGCCCAGCCTCCTTAAATAACTCATCAAAAATCTTATACATGTTACTTTGAATGGATCATCACTCGGTCAATAGATGAGAAAGTATCGTGTGTTCTAATCAGTCGTTTTCCCAGTTAGCTGATAATTGCTACTAATTAATGGACTGTAAGAACACTTTCAGTAAGATAAAGCATTCAATTTGTCTATTCTAAAATTTTCATAAACAAGGAGAATGAGATTATTCCCCATTTCCAAGGTGGATTTTCATATTATGAACCGCTTCATATGTACTTTCAGTCTTGGTAATAAAAAAACTAAACTATTCTTATTAAACTGTCGTTCAGGATGTACGTAATAGTTTAGTCCATTTGAAGCTATGCATAATGCATTAATAGTTAAGTGTACATTAAAGCTCCCAGTCGTGTGAAATATCATTGCTACTAATCTTTAACCAACAACTACTACAGTAATCTAGATAAAGCTCATATTAAGGATCATGATAGCACAGTTATATCGTTTGGATTTAAATTTCTCTACAAACCACATAATGGTTCGCCCTTGGCATTACTGTAAGTCGTCACTAGCTAATTACGGCGAATCCCTATGCATAAATATACTAATTGTTAGCAATTAGTAACAGAACTGTTTGTTGCAGTTATACAGATTAATCGAGCTTAAGTCTGACACGCTGGTCCTGCATATCACGTAATGAAGCAACAAGTTACGTCTGCTTAACTTAAAAAATCAATTCCTACCATCGATAGGATGATTTGTAAATATGGAAAATGAGTGTATTGTGAATTACGGGACACGAGCCTAGTCACCGAAATGCCATGTAATGGAACCCAGGCCCAAGGTTCCCTTTTCAACCGCCTCCAACTACAACACAAATCCACTAATTTTCCGGGAAATGGTACATTTGTTTAAGTTATTGAATTCCGTGTGACAAAGGCTAACTGTAAGTATTCACCACTGATCTCTTCTACGCAGGTTATTTTTCATATAAATCATACGACTGGTTCCTAGTAACCATATTGGGGTACATCAGCGTAGATGCTTACAACGAGTCCCATTGATTTCGAGTGCATGCTACAAGTCTCTGTTTATGGATTAATATGCATTTGAACCGATGAATAGCAAAAGACTTCACTATTAACTTCTAAATTACTGTCAACTAAAACGAAATTCAACACAAAAACACTCATGTAAAACAAGATATTAATTCCAGATTGGAAAGTCCCTTAATTGTTTAAAAAAAGTGCACATTTGATGTTTGATAATCAACTCGAAATGCCATAAAATAGGATATTTATTTTTTACAAGGGAAATTACAAACTTAATTTATCAAGTATATTAGGTGTGAAATGAATTTGTTGAAATGTATCGAAAGAAATAGATACTGTTCCCTAAAAGTATGTGAAGTTAAATATTATTTTAAAACTGAATGATTAATTTATTATGAGCAACTGGGAGTAGGTGTTCTAGCTTTCAAAGTGGGTAGCACGTGCACTCCACAAATCATCTGTCTTTCGAATAAAATTAAGTACTCGGAGGTATTTAAATTATTTCAGAGAATGAGTCGCAGGCCAACGATGAGACCACCAAACGAGAAACTGATAAAAGCGAGGGAGATGGATCTTTTTCATTTGTAATCCATATGGTTCAACTGAACGGGGAGATGAGGTTGGGTCACTAAATTGTTGTGGTGGTCGCAAATATCGACGACATTGTGATAAAGCTGCTGTTTCTGCATCTTCCGCCGTGATGTCACCTTCATTGCCTTCACTTAGTGCTTCACCGGTGGAATGTACTTCTTCCTCGTCGAAAGCATCCAGATAGAATTCAAGATTGTTCCTGGAAGATATATCATAACCTTCTTGAACTCTTAAAATAGCTTTTAATAACTCTGTTGTAGCTTGAGGATCAATATAGATTGACTTCATTGGTGGACACGCCAACCCCATCCCAGCAGCTTCCGCTTGCAAACGCCACAATGCAAGAACAATTAAATCATCTGAATGACCCAGAGCACGTGCATTTTCTACTGGCCATCCTTGAGGAGCTGGAGACGCAGTCATTATATGAGCTATCGCATATAGTCTATCTGCCAAAGATGGATATTCACAAGATGAGTTTTGAGAAGATTGGTCAGTGAAATGTACTACAGGCCGAGAAATTACTCCAGGAAGACCTCGGACAGATTGCGTTTGTCCAACCGGAACCAAAGACTTACGAGCAAGAGGAATTTCGGAAACAAGAAGACGATGGACAATAAGATAAAGACATGGTATAGTTGGGATAGGTGAGCGATAATGTCCGTCACCCGAACCCATTTCTATGGCAGCTGTTGCGGCAGCCGAATATGCAATATGACACGCTTCAGGTTGATCTGTGGCCTGCCAATCACGTAGCCCCAAACCACAAGCAGGGCAGATAGTTTCGTCTCCAGAACCAGTGTGAAAAAAGCCTGCTGAAGCCAGCTCAGAAGGAGATGGAACTGGAGACTTTGACCGGCAAATTGTTGAATCATTCGCAGAATCCTTTGAATGAATTATTTTTGGAAATGAATCTAACCGCGCCTGATGAAATGCATAACGAGGTGTGCGGGAATGAATTTGTAATAATCCAGCTGTATGAGAAACAAGCAAAATTGGATGAAGCAGTTACTAAACAAAGAGGCTTGGAAGTCAAAAATTCCACTAGACAGTAGAAACAAAAAAAACGAAAAGGAATTACCGTCCCTAATAAACCAGTGATTGCAGTAAAATATGGCGAAAAATTTCCTGTATAAATAAAGCTGGATTTTACAGTAGCAATGTGACACAAATAAATAGCTTTAAGTGATTAAATAATCTCGTAGGAGACGTCCACTTGAAATAAATTATGTAGAATATATTTAAACGAGAAATAAAGTCACCAAGGAAGAGTACTTAAGGTAATCTGACCTCAGATGAGGTCAGCAGATATTGCGATGAAAAGTTTATAAGTATTTTTTTTAGTAAAAGTTCACAAACCCACGAATTTCCCGAAACAACTTCAGACTTTCTTCAGATGAATGTGAGGCATCGTATACTAAATGAACCATCAGACTGGAAACAATATA